CGCAGCCGGCTCCGGGGCTGCCGGCGCGGCCCCGCCGGGAGGAGGTGCCGGGCCGGGCACCGTCCGTGGGCAGCAGCATCGCGGCCGCCCCGGTGCCCCCGGAACCCCCAGTCGGGGTTGCCGTCGCTCACGCCCCGCCCCGCCAGGTCACGGGCGACGGAGGGGACCGGGGGACACGGCCCGGGGAGGCGGCCCCGGCCCGGGGGTGTCTCTCTCTGTCCGGGAGCCGGAGGCTGCCTGCTGGAAGTTGCGGGAGAGCCGTCGGCAGGGCTGCGGGTTCGGGCAGGCTCCTGCCGGGCCGCGGGGTGCCCGGGGTGCGGGCCAGGGTGGGAGCTGCGGCGTGCCGCAGCACACGCGGGGACGGGGCGCAGGCAGCGAGGGAAGGGGGGTAAACGAACAAGTGGGATTAGGAGAAGGGCCGCAGTTAAAAAGGAGTTAAAAAAATAGAGGGAAAGATCAAAGCGCTGGGTAAAAGACTCTTCAAATTACACGTTTGAAGCTTTTCCATAATTCCAAGGCGACAGATAGATAACAAGCTGCACATTCCTTATCACATATGGAATCAATCTGAAAGGAGTCTCTTGATCAGAATCTGTTAATTGCAGTGACATATGATTTGGAAAGAAAACACAATTAATGACCCTTCATGTTAAGGCTTTGGGACGAGGCCACTGACAATCTGCGCTCTGCAGCCAACGTCACATTTCTTTATTATCATTGTTATTACTAGTAAACTATTAAAGGGAGACATTCCTCGAGCCTTGGTGACTGTTTTGTCTCCGTTCCCGTTGCAGGTTTCTTCAGAAGGGGGGGGAGAAGAGAAGGGGACGGGAGTGCGTGCGCGCTTTTCCTTCAAGGTTTGGGAGCTAAAATGATTTAGTACCTTGTCTGTAAATCTAATGACCTAAGGTGAGAAAAAATACTTCATCTTTTATTATTACCATTTGTGGTGAGCGTTACCAGGAAACAGCAGAACCCGTTTGAAATGGTAAATATATGTATCCATTTAAAAGCCATTATTGCAGAGATTTTCCCAAAGCGAAATAAAGCAAATCTCCCCAATCCCATTTTCTAGCGCCCTCTGCCCACGGCTCCCCGTGGCTCCGCCGCCCCTTCCCGGGCGCTGGGACCGCTGAGCCTCGGCCGAGCCTTCCTGGGTGCTGTGGATGCTTGTGGGTGCGGGGGGGGGGGGGGGGGGGGGGCCGCGGGGGGGGGGGCGGGGGGGGGGGGGGGGCC